ATTTTGACTGAAATCTTTCATGAAACTTAAAAAAACGCCGAAATATTTCAGAAGATTTATGACAAAAAAGTTCTTTCAAAAGCCTAATCAAATCTTGAAGCTGTAACTTCTTTTGGCGAAACTGAAGTTCGAATTATAGACAATGTTTTAATTCCACAAACATTCAAAAAAGTTGCACTCTTTTTATTTTCATCTGTAATAGAATTAGCTTCTAAAAAATAAGTAATTTGATCAGCACATAATTCGTATGAATTTGGATTTGAAGTATCAAATTCCTGAATAGAGCCTACCGTCGCTATCTGAGTGCGAAATTTAACTTAAGCCAGAAGAAAATATCGCTAATAGTAAAAGTGCATTTAAACATTTAAAAACACCTACCGGAAGCATTAAATAATACCGGTATTAGGATCTTGTCAACAATACTCCTGGCCAACAGTCTTTAAGAAATTGCATCTCCACGGAAATCCAATTGAAATTGAACTTCTTCATGCAGTGGAGTAAGATTTCATTTTTCATGAGATCAGTGGAATAAGATCCCATTTTTCGTCGCCACACAGTGATTTGTCTGCAGAAAGTAATAACATTATCAAGTTTCGTTTTGCTGTTATGGATGGTGTTTTCTACACTAGGGAGTGCTGCAAGCTCGGCCAACACCTCCTAGAAAAGAGTAGGCCTCTGCACGGGTTACCATAAATATCGTTTAGTAGTCCAAACGTAATGACATATATTGTATTTTCAACCACTGCGCAGCTTAGTACCCCGAACGTAATGACATATTTCTTATTTTTCATCAACTGCGCAGTTAACTTCGTCACATCGGACTATTAAATTGATCCGTGCTGAGGCCTTCATACTTCTAGGAGGTGTTGGCTCGGCAGGGGCGGATCTACTTAAGGGCTTTTTGGGCTGCAGCCCAGGGCCCCGTGGATACAAAGGGCCCCAGTCCCCACTGAAAACAATCGGTGATATTTTGAATTTAAGAAAATATCTAATATTTAAAAATAAACTATTATAAGGTTGGCAACCCTGAGATCAATCAACCCATGCATGTGTGCGTCTATCGAACGGAACGGGGAATTACCAGTTGCTTGTTTTTGGTCAGTGTATTTTTTCGCGTCTATTACGGGGGACTTCCCTCAGCGCCGCTTAACTCCCGACGTAATTTTTTCTTCCGCACGTCTGTTCTCGTCGTCAAAGTGTCAAACTTGTTTAGTTTACTAATAACTGTCTTGACTACCAGCAACCCTCTCATCCCACTGAAATTTGTAAATATTTTCTACACTATCATTCTATGATGTTTCTATGCTACACTATCTTAAGGATTTTTTAACTTTGCCAATCACTAGCTGTGAAGCTGAGCTCTCTTTCTCCAGGATGTCATACATTGAAAACAAATATAGGATAACAATGTCGAACCATCGACTAAATCATTTATCAGTTCTTTCCATAAATTGTGATTTAACGAAGGACTTAAAATGTGCTGAACAAATAAAGGAATTTCCACCACAAAATTGCAGAAAGGTTGCCTTATAATTTATATAACATAACTACACCTAACCTGTCAATTTCTTTTGCAATAATGTTGTACAGTTGCTGTTTGTATAGACAAATAAAAATAAATAAGTAAAAAAAATTAATAAAATTATTTTATTTTTA